AACAATTTGATGCTTAAAGTTCAGCCCTTCAAAACCGCACAGATTTATGTAATGTGATCCAATTCCTTGGTTTTTCAAAGAAGGGGGTGCACAACTGGGAGGAGAGAGTGCAGTTATTTACCAGCTTCTTCCTAAGAGCAAAAAACAGAATGTTCAGTATTCATGGGAGAGGCAGGAGTTGTGTTCTGCCTGAGTAATTCTTGCTCGCTGGATGAGCAGGGTCAGGAGACAAACTTCTTTCTATAACTCTGCCTGGCATCAGATTGGGCCCGTCTAGAGGCAAGAAAAATGTTTTCTTAAAGTCCTAGTTTCCCCAGCACTTTGTAACAATGTCCTGGTGTCCCATTTCCCAGGCTTGATGGGGAGGGGGAATTGGAGATGAACAAGTTGTAGGACCTTCAAAGGAAAATAGAGGCAGAAGAGTTCAACTAGTAGTCCCCAAGACTGAAGTTCTAAAACGCTCTCTGTCATTTGCTTTTCTTTGTTTTGTTTTGTTTTGTTTTGTTTTGCCTTGCCTTGCCTTCACTCCTCTTTCTTCTTCTTTCTTTCTTCTCTCTCCTTTCTTTCTTTCTTTCTTTCTTTCTTTCTTTCTTTCTTTCTTTCTTTCTTTCTTTCTTTCACAGGATCTAGCTATGGGCTGAGACAGGCCATGAACTTGCTATGTATGTAGCCCAGGGTGGTCTTGAGATCCTCCTGCTTCAGCCTCCTGGGTGCTTGGATTATAGGTATGTATCACTATTGATTCTTTTTTTGTTTGTTTTGTTTTTCTGGCACCGGGAATCTAACTCAGGACCTTACACTTGCAAGGCAGGTGCGTTGCCACTGAGCTAAATCCCCGGCCCCACTACTGATTCTTTTCTTTGGCTTTTTTTGGCAGGGGAAGTGCTAGGGATCAGACTTAGGGCCTCATGCATGCTAAACAGGTGCTCCACCACTGAGCTACATCTCCAGTCCTGCCTGTTTTGCATTTTTCTAAAGGCAAAATAAATGTATGCCTTGACCCTCTACAGGGCAGAATTTATCAAGATAATGTTGACATCTTTGGAAGAAGAAGTAGAAGGGAATTGAAGGGAGCAATCTAACCCTTATAACACTCAGCTTTCTGTGTCATTCTCCATATGGTTAGCTACTTCTCTTCGGCAAGGCCAAGGACTCTTAAAAGGGATTCTGTACTCCTAGGTTTGGTGAACTGTGTGTTATTGAGTAATTTTTATCTTACCTTTGTAGTACTAAAATCCTTTAGCTCTGCAAAAAGCTACATTCCCATAAAAAACAATTCCCTGAAATTAACATTGTCTCAACACAGCCAGTTCATCCTGAGCATTAGGTTGCAGGATGGAAGATGGTGTGATTGGTGAGAAGAAATAGGAATGGATGGCTCTCAAGCCTTCTTCCACTCCAAGATTTGAAGATTCTGTGCTAATTTTCCTTTACAGCAATCAAAAAAGAAGAGGATATTTTCTGGAATGTTCACTTTGAATGTCAGACTCCAGATTTTCATTTAGAGCTGCCTATTACTATACCTCCATAAAGACATTTTTTTCAAGTTCATAAAGAATCTTTTTTTATTAGTACATGTTTGCAGTACATAATGATTACATTCATTGTGGGGAATTGGTACATGTGCATAACACATCTGTTATGGCTTATATGTAGATATCCCCCCAAAGCTTCATGCACTCATAAGTGGGGCTCTTTGGAAGTGGCTGGATCATGAGTGTTGATAACTGGATTAGTCTACTGATTAGCATAGCTCTGGGTGTGGGTAATGGGATGGCCCACCCTGGGTGTAGGTGACACCAATAGGCTTGTAGCCTGGATGGGATAAAAAGAGAAGAAGGAAGGCTTGTTGCTTTCTGCCTGCCTGCCATGGACTGTTTCTGTTCTGCCACGCTGCTCTACCTTGAGCCAGCCTATGATGGACTGCAACCTCTACAAACTATGAGATAAAATAAACCTTCCCCCTTCAACTTGTGAGTGTCGAGTATTTTGTTCCAGCAATGAGAAAGTAACTAAGACAACATCTCAATTCTTTTCTTCCATGAAGACATTTAAGAGGATAGTCTGGACTCCTGGCTTCCGGAATTCTCTGGTTAGAAGCCTCTTGGGTCACCTCCTGAGGCCCCCTTGTCTGGGCAATTCTGGGAAAACCAATCTGCAGCAGCAGAGGCATCCCTCACCCTCAAGAATCTGCCCTTCTTGATCTGTTCCCAAGGGATATGGCCACAGATGCCAGCCAGCTCTGATCCACTGGGGTAAGCACATCCCCTTTCGTGGAAGCCAGTGGTCAAAGAGGCTTGTTGTTGTTGTTCTTTATGTTTTCAAATTATTATTTTATTTTTAATTAGTACTCAAAAGCATAAATATTGTACACATTAATGGGGTATCATGTAATGTATAATACATATATACATTACATAATGTTTAAGTGAGGTTAAATATATTTATTTTCTCAAATATCAGTTCACTGTGATGAACTTTCAAATTTCTTCTAGCTTTTTGAAATGTATAGTATGTTATTATTACCTGTAGTCACTTTAATAGTACCCCTTGCTCCTATTTAATTACAACTTAGTACACATTGGTCAACCCTTTACTCTCTTGTCCCAGCCTCTAGTAACCACCACTCTAATCTCTACTTCTAAGAGATCAACTTTTTTAGATTCCACATATGAGAGACCATACGATACTTGTCTTTCTATGTCTGGCTTATTTCACTTAACATAATGATCTCCTGTTCCATTTATGTTATCACAAATGACAAGATTTCATTTTTATGGCTGAGTAGTATTCCATTGTGATAATGTACCACATTTTCTTTATCCATTTGTTAGTGGATGGACACCTCAGTTGTTTCCTTTCTTTGGCTACTGTGATTATTGTAACTCCTTTTTTTTTGGCTACGTGATTAGTGCTGCAATGAACATGGGAATGCAGATGTCTCTTTAACATACTGATTTTATTTCCTTTGGATATATGCCCAGTAGTGGAATCGCTGGGTCATGTGGTACAGTAGTTCTATTTTTAATTTTTGAGGAATCCTCATACTGTTTTCCATAACAACTGTACTAATTTACATTCCCACTACCAGTGTGCAAATGTTCCCTTCTTCTTAACATCCTTGCTAAGGATGTAATAATCCTTGTTATATCTTTAGTCATATATATAAAATATTTGGTGGTACTGGGGATTGAGCCCAAGGTCTTCAGACTGAGCTATATCCCCAACCCTTTTTTAAATTTTTTATTTGAGACAGGGTCTTGCTAAGTGGCTAAGTTGCCCAGGCAAGGATTGAACTTGCAGTCCTCCTGCCTCAGCCTTCCACAGTGCTGGAATTACAGATTTGTGCCACCACTTCTACTAACAGAGTTTTTTATGAAGTTCTTTTCTATGCTCTCTTCCTCTTCTCTTTTTCTCTCTCCTTATCTCTCAGTATATCTAGACACCTGCAGGAGACACTGCTGGTTGCCCACTTCAGTGTCTGTTCTTCTTAATAATTGAATTTGTTTGGGGATAGCAATTTACTCATTTAAAGAAAGGCTCTCTTTTAATTAGAAATAGGTAGATTAGGTTTTGGTCAATAAGATGTAAGCAGGAGCATGAAGTATTCTGAGAAGCTTCCTCAAAAGGAAGGAGCTATCTTCTTTCCTTTTCTTCCTTTCTGTTGCTTAGATTGTAGCTATTATGGCTGGAGCTTGAACAGCCATTTTGGACAATGATGCAATATGGTAAATATGGTGGGCAACAACTTGGAAGAAGTTTGAGTCTGTGACAAGTTTATAGAGATGCTGTACCAACCCTGGGCAACTTCAGACTTCTTTTATATGAGGGACAAACTATTTTTAAAAGGAACTGTTGTTATTTTTTGTTATTCAGCCAGAGCTAATCATAATACCATGCCTCCTTCCTAAAATGTCTTGATAAACAGCTCCAGACAATGGGCTGGAGTTTTATGGCTTAAATATGGCTAATTATGGGGAAGAGTAAGCCTTTTCACTATCTTCGGGGAGAGCAGCAGGGATTTCTCTAGGCAAGAGTCACAAGGATGCCAGTAATCTGCCCACAGTGTCCCTTCACAGTCAGCCTCAGGTGGACCCTACATTATGTCTCTCAGTTACCACAGTAATCCTCATGCCTAGTCTGGTGCCTGACACCGAACAGGCTCAATTGCAAATTGTTGGGGATCAGGGCCAGGTGGGAGGAGAGAGGGTGGAAATGTGGGTAAAGGGATTGAAAATGATCGAGATATGTTACACATATGTACCATTTACCCAGAATGAATGTAAATATCGTGTATTGCAAGCATATACCCATAAAAATAAATAAATAAAACTGTTGACAGAACAAATAGTTCTTTGCTTTCATAATTGACATGACCAAGAGGTCAATTTACTTGAAGTGATTTGAAAGACTTTGGGAAAGCTCTCTCCTCATCCTGTCCCCATTCAAAAACTTCTTACCCAACCCACCATCACTTGCTATAGTACCTAAAACTCCCAGAAATGTATTTATTGATCAGCATGTGTCAAGTACTGTGTGAAGTTCTGAAGATTAGCGGTGCCGGAGACAGGTATGATTCCTGACTTTAGGGAGCTGCTAGAACATTGAGACAGAAGCAAACAAAAACATGCAAAGGAATCATCATAATCTGGGATAAGTGCAGTGACAGAAATGGTAAAGTGGGACAGTTTAGACAAAGTGGGGTGCAAAGATCTCTGAGAGGAAAAGAGAGCCACAGGATAGGAACAAGCAGCTCTGCAAAGAGCAGGGCTGGGGATGCTGCTGGGGGCTTCAGGGCCAAGGGAACCCATGTGAAAAAAGGCTCTAAAGAGTCTTTGGGGGGGAGGAAAGCAGTTCACTTGGGCTGGAGCTTGGTAAGAGCTGGAGAATGACAAGTGAAAAGGATGGAGATGTCAGTGGAGGCCAGATCACGCAGGCACTTGTAGGCCACGGGAAGGAGTTTGGACTTTATTCTTAGTACTGTGATAAGCCATTGATAAGCTTTAAACAAGGGAACACCATGATCTGATTTTGCATTAAGAAGGTCACAGTGGCTGCTGTGTGGAATTGGACAGCCCAGTGCAGAAGTAGCGAGGCCCATGTGTAGGGTTTTACCTTCAGGCAGGAGAAAAGGACAGCTGCTTATGCCAGGGAGTGGCAATGGGGATGGAGAGGAGTCCAAGCATTCAGGCCATGTGTTGGAAGTTGAGAGGACCAGACTGGGCAGTGGGTGGACTGTGGGAGCTGAAGCGGAGGCGGAATCAAGGTTTCTGGTCTGAGCCACTGTGTGGTGGTGCCACACTCCAAGGTGAGTACATTGGAGGAGGTTGGAGTCATTACTTTGATTTTGGTCTTATAGATAGCAATGTACTTGTGAAGCACAAAGGGAGCTGGCAAGGAGACAGACAAATATTTGAGCCTGGAACTCAAAGGAATGCTTAGGCCAGAAATCACTGATATGGCCTGAAGACCTTGAACCTTGGGAGTAGATGGAACCAAACAGGGAGAGAAGACAGACCAGAGGCACTCTAGATCATCGTGGGAGGAGAAGGCTGCAAGCGTGACAGAGGAGGCAGAAAGAGTATTTGCATATTACTTGTCATACCCAATAAAGTGTTGTGGAGTTTGAGGAGGCTGATAAATAACACCTCTTCTCTTCTACTTGGAATCAGAATCAGTTAAGAGAAACATGGGAGTCAGACAGGAGATAAGAAAGGGCTGAAAGCGCAGGCTGAGCACATGCATTTTGCAGGCTGAGGGAACCCAGAAGGTGGGGAGTGAGTATGAGACGAGGCTGAGTGTACCCTAGTCTACCTTCCCAACTCCCCATCCTGCCTCATATGCTCCTTCCCATGGGAAACGTGCAACAAGCTCCAGGAGCAGAGGCTATGTCTGACCTGGTCACTGCTGCAGCCCCTCTACTTTTCACTGTGCCTGGCACACAGTAGGTATTAATGTTTGTTGAATGAATGAATGGATGCATCTGGATGTTAAGGTTGGAACAATTCCTACAGATCATCCAAGAATCAACTATACCCAGGCCTCAATCCTAGACCAGTTTTATCAACATTCCTGGAAAAAAGGCATCAAAATTTCTTTAAACCTTCTCCCTGTGATTTCCATGTGCAGACAAGGTTAAGAACTATTGCTCTGCTTTCCCCCTTCATTTTACAGATGGGGGCACTGAGGCCTAGACCCAGGTCCTCTGTAGTGGTGTAACACCAGAGGATGTGTCCTGACCCTGTGTGAGTGGCTTCAAAAGCCCTCGTCTGGGGAGCGGGAAGTTGGGAAAGATGATCTCTAGAGCACTGTACAGTGCTCACTGCCTTTTGCTCTATTTTCTGATCGTAGGTGTGAATTACTGCATCATCACTTGCACCTCAAGATGCCCATGACGGTGGTCAGGTCAATTTTCCACTTGCAATGACTGTGCCCTGGATTGCAAGGAACAGCAAGAAAGCTATGTTTGGGAGACTTCAGGACCAACAGACCTAGTCTTTGGTGGTGAATTCATCCTGGCACAGCAGGGGAAAAAACAGGGGAGCCCAGTTGAGGAACTACAGTGGGCTGCAGCTGCCCTCTTTGCTCCCATTCCTTCTTTTCTAGTTCTTGTTTTCCCCTGCCCACCACTCCCCTATCATCTCTTTCCTGTTCCTCTCCTGCACTCTCCGTGTATCTGTATCAAACACAAGTTTTGCAAAGGCACACCTATGTATGGCTTCCTCTGCCTATTCCATAGAATCTCTCATATCTTCCTCTCATTTCTGCTAGGTGACTCAGAGCTTGAAAGTGTGTTGTCACAATGTAGGTAACCAAAAGTGTTCATGAAATTAAAAAGGCTAGAAAATAAGGCCATATGTGATTTCTTCTGCTACAAAATGGAAACTTGTGGGTACTGAGCCATGTATTGGTCCTTGAAAAATGGTAATTTCTTGGGTGCTCTTTAACAGGGCAACTTGAGAAGAACTAGATATGAGGATGAAGAGAACTGGGGGCCAGAAGGAAAACTGAGGCCTGGAGCAAAGAGGTAAAGTACACAAGTCTCATAGCCAAAGATCTCTTCTTGACTGGGGGATTTTAATTAGCATCTGGCTTAGAAATGATCCTGTGTAACCATATTGTTTTGCAGCATGGTAAACTGAGGTCTAGACATGTTGATGAGTTGCTCAGGGTCATATGGTTTGCTAGTCAATACTAGGCCTACAGCCCAAGACTTTGGGCTGCGTCTTCCTAGAATATCTCAGCTGCTTCAGCCTTCCCCAAAGTGACCTTTAGGGACTAGTTTAATTTTATAAGATGACAGGACTTGTGGGAAGGACTCTGCGGGGGAAACATTGAAAAGGATAGACCAAGAGATAAAAGCAGAGGGAGCAGCAAAGCTCAGTGCTCTCTCAGGGCTTTCCTAGCTTTCTTCACAGGCTCTCCTCTCCTCTTCTCTTCACCTTCTGTTTATGCTCCACAGCCACTTCTCTGGGGCCTGTGTCCACTCATATCACTTCTATTCCTGTGCTGTGCAGACATGTGCACATCTCATGTTCGGGCCCTTGATTTGCATTTATTTTTCCACACCTGTTTATGGAATATTTCCATATGTAAATATGCTTAGCTCAGCAAGAAATAAAAATTGTAATTCATCACCCCTGTGAAAGGTACCAGCCTTTTCCTACACCCATTTCTTTCAGTGCTTACATGGTCTCCAGTCCCCAGACTCAAAATTTTCAGGGCACCAGAGGCTTGGGGAGTTAGTGTTTCACAGGTACAGAGTGCCATTTGAAATGGTGGTGATGGATGGTGGCTATAGTTGCACAACAGTGCAAATATATATAATGTCACTGGACTGTACACTTGAAATTGGTTAAAATGGTTATATCTATATACTGTATATCCATATATATCCATAAATATTTATGTGTGTGTGTATAACAAAAAACTTTCATGCTATCCTTGACTTGTGGCTACTTTGCTGTCTCATGCTCACCTGACTCACTTTGCCACCAGGTCATGCTGATTTTCATCTAGTGAATGGTCTGCAGACTTTCCCACACTCCATATTCCACTGTGTTGCCAGTGACTGACTTGTTAGAGTTAGGGATTCTTTTTTTTTTTTTGGTACTGGGGATCGAACTCAGGATCTTGCACTTTTGAGGCAGGCAGTGGAACCCCTGAGCTAAATCCTCAGCCCTGTTAGGGATTCTTGAGCCCTAATCCTTCTGTTGTCTGGGTATGGGACCTGGCGTCTACCTTTTAAACTTTCCAACTAACCCAACATAGGCAGCCTGCAAACTGCACTTGAAGACATCCTGCCTTGCAGCGTTTTTTGCCTTTGTTCTTTCCTTTCCTTTCCATGACCCTTATTCTTGCCCCGGCTGGCCCTCATCGCCTCACACCTGGATTACAGCAACAGCTGGCCAACATCTAGCTGTCCCATTTCAGCCACTCCAGCTGTCAGAACCCATCTTCTACAAATATTTTCTGTATCATATCACTTCCCTGCTCAGGATCTTACCATGGCTCCCTGAGACCTATGCGATCCTATGTAAAGTCTTTTGGCTGGATGCCAGCCAACTGGGCTTCCAATCCTCCTTTTCCTTCTCTGTTCACTCCTATTCCCCCCACATTCTCTGGTCATTTTTTCTTATGTTAGCCCTTCTGCTAATTTGGAGGAGTCTCCTTTCTACCTCCCTACCTCCTTTTCCTGGAGCACTTCTGGTTGCATAGGAGGAATTATGATAACTCTTCAGATTCTCCATCCTGTTCCTCAATGCATCCATCTGGCCTCCCCTCATTCATGCTCTGCTGTTCACTAGCTGTGTAACTTTGGGCAAGTTGTTTAACCTTTCTGTGCCTTAGTGTTTTCATTTCCTCATCTCTAAAGTGGGGATCTTAATAGAATATATATGTTATACATTTGTGGAGAGGATTAAAAGTCAGTAGATGTAAAAGGGTTTAGAATGCTATCTGGCATAAAGTGCCATATAAGTGATATCTAACCTTATTCTTAATTGTTGTGATCGTTGTCCCTTCCAGCCAGCTTCTCTTTGGAAACCATTTCTGCTTGGAATAGCTAACTGATGGAATTCTCTGTTAAACCTTGCTTGAACTGATGGAGGTGGTTAAGTAGCTAGTATTTGGGTTCCAATGAGCTTCCCTGCAAGAGACAATCTGAGGAACCAAGTGTCTACAAAGCTCTGATTAGTTCATTAATTTCTAACCAACTGAGAAGAGAGGTGAAATTTGAAAGCAAGATTTTTCTAGAATACGTAGGATGATGTTAGGACATTTCCAAAAAACCCTAAGGGACAGTGGGTCATTTACTTTCTTTCAGGAGTTTTCCCTACAGCCCAGGTCCTAGTGACCCTATCTCCTCATCTGCTCTCTGGATTCCTTTGAAGAAGGACTCATGGCAGTGTCTTCCCCTGTGGTTGTCCCCAGCCTGAGAACATTGCCCCAAGCAGTTATTTTCTACTAATGACTTATCCCTACACTTCTGTTCTAGTTTTTTTTAGATCAACAAATAAAATTGTTTATGTCTACATTTTGAAATATATATATGTATATAAATATATATATATATATATATATGAACACAATGGTTAAATCTAGCTGACACATGCATTACTGTTCTAGTTTTCAAACTCAAGCCTATACTTTTGTGCCAAATACAAGCAATTCTTTTAAAAGCACCACTGAATTCAGTTAGTTTGTCCTTATGTTTCTCTTTCTCAGTAGAGACAAAATACTAAAAATTCAACTACCATGGAATTGGGGGAAGTCGAAATGTTTTGGACATTTAAAAGGGGAACCACATTGCCGGGGATTTAGCTCAGTGGTTCTGTTGCCTGCCTTGCAAGTGCAAGGTCCCGAGTTTGATCCCCAGTACCAAAAAAAACAAAACGGGAACCACAGCCCCACGGGATCAATGGGGTAAACTAAGTCCTCTGGCTCCCAGTTTTCTTGTCTGTCACATACATGGAGGTACATCATAACTGCCCCTTTTTCCAAGAGCAGGAAACAGAGTGCTCTTGTAATCCTTGTTGCTGTGTTGGAAGGGCTGCTGTAAGGAGGGTACAGGGTGAAGTGGCATGCCCAGGCAGGGGGTGACTATTGCTGCAGGTGTCTTTGTTCTGGGTCCAGCAGGACCAGCTGAGCTCAGAATCCCAAAGTCCATGAAAGTCCAGGGACCAAATGTTTTTTACCTTTCTGTACCCTGGTTGGTTTTCTGTAGAACAACTACAACAAAGAACTCCTATATGTGAATAATAAACATCTAAAGTTCCTCTTATCTACTCTAGTAACCGCAGTGGCTTCAGAAGTTGCAGTGTTTGTCTCTGTTTAGTTGGGGTTGCCTTGGCAACAAAGTTGTTCTCTTTTTACCACTGTGTGACTGAGGGACAAGGTTTTTCCTTTTTCTTGTAAAGAGTTTGATGACCAGAGAGGTTTGAGGTGTTGCTGGGCTACTTTCTGGCTTTCTTTTTTCATCTCTTTCTCGTTCAGCTGGAAATTGGCTGTGGGAAGTCGACAGATGAGTGGAGTAATCTAAAATTCTCTCAGCTTGTTTTCAGAGGGGAAGAGTTTTTGGAGTAAGTGGGGATTGGAAAAGCCTGGACAGGTGGGGATGGCTGTCTGGGGGCTTCCAATGCACTAGTCCAAAGTATGTATCTGCACTAGCATCTGGGCAATCTGCTTGCCATGACCCAATTTGTATGTGTAAACAATGAACTTGGCATCATGAGCATGGAAGTTGGGGGCAGGTGAGGGAATTGGGGTTCAAGAGGCCAGCAAGCAGGGGCCAACAAGCAGAGGTTTGCAACATTACGAAGGGTTCTAGTAAGTGGAAAAGAACAGGCCCACATGTATGAACTTGAAAGAGAAAGAAGCATGTCATTTTTATTACACTTGGGCAGTGACTGGTACAAAGGAAGGGGCTTTGAGGTTTGTGGCTCAGGAAAATCAACGAGTTCTGTTCTATTTCAAGTGGCAAAGGGATAGGTATATATGGTACAAGAAGCTGAGATTGGCATCACTTTGATAGGGATGATTGTCTCCCTTGGGGACACAGTAGGCTTAAGACTATGCTTAGGGGCCAGGATGGGTTCAGGTTAGGGTGTGGTACAGGAGACACTAAATGCTCCAAATTGCCGAAGAAATAGCAGAAAGTTGCAGAGAAATGGGACCAAGAAAGGCTGGTGGGAGCCCTCAAAAGAGGTGGGGGGAAGCTAGAGTCAGGAGCCTTGGTCTTGGCCCTGCCCACATGGCTGGGGGGTTTTGCAAGTGAACTCTCAGTAGTGACAATGGAGAAGCAAAATTGAAGGCATTTTCCTTTAGGTGGGGTGGGGGAGGCAGAAAAGAGGGGGATGGTTTTGTCACCTCATACATTTTCCATAATTTTCTCACTGAGGCTCTCCTAGCTTCCTTGCCAAGATCAGGGATCACAATGGATCAGCATTAAGGAGAATGCATTATGTGATGTTTTCAGAAGAAAGAAAGAGGCCCACTTAAGTTTCCTTGATTCCTCTCATCTTGCTCCCCGACAGGAATTGTATTCTCTGCCCTTTTTTGTGGGGGGTCTTTTCGGGTGAATCCTTAGGTAGCCTCCTAAATCACCCCCTCAAGCTGACAATGGGTGTTAGTTACCTTGCCACTCATTATGAAGCTCTCATATGAAAGTGAGACCAGAACAGAGAGAGAGGGCTTCAGGTTTGAGAAGAACTCACATAATAGCTGTGTAACATTGGACATGTCACTTAACTGGCTGAGTCTCAGCTTCTTTACCACAACAGTGAGTGTAAAGAGCCTGTCTTTCATATAGGCATTGTGTGGGTGACATATGACCCTGGATGTAGCATAAACCTGGCACTTAGGAGCTCAACAAATATTTGTTGGGTCAGAGAAACAGTCTCTTCCCACTGGGTAAGGGATCTTTCCTGCCCAGTCCATTTATACTCAGTCAGATGCTACCTGTATTTTTAGAAAAAAAGAGCAAAGTTTATTGAAATTTCAAGCTACATTTGAAAAATCAAAATTCAAATCCTGGAGACATACATCAGGGTAAGGTGTCAGAAAGTGGAAAGTATTCAGTGTCACAGAACCCCACAGAGACAAGCTCCCAGGGCACATCCCCTAGACCCCATGGGATCAAAGCCATTTCCTCATCCATCCCTCATCCACAGTAGGACACTATCCTTCTATTAACCTGAAAGTTTTCCACAAAAATTTTTTTTTAAAGTTCTCAAACAGCAATGTGAAGTCCAATCTGATCTTCTCTCAACCCCATTCTATGTAGTCAGCACCAGTGAATGGTGGGTTTAGCATTCAAAAGAGGACTTCACCTGTTTACAGCAGGGAAAGGGCTACAGCAGCAAGGGATCTGTGGCCATGTTCTGAGGCTGGCCCCCCTCTCCCTGTCTTTACTCTTGAGTCTTACTTAACCTACAGGACAAACTGGATCAAGCTGGTAAATGAACACAGTCAAAGAATTAGCTTTAAGACGTAAGGGACCAGTCAGTATTTCTCAAGCTGGTTAGCCCCTTCAACACATAGGTGTATGTGTATATGTATACATCGCTACACTAAGATAAAGATCTAGCCCTATGGGTATATATATGCATTTATGGCTATATAGTAAAACTATGCCAAAACTAACCAAACAGAACTTTGTAAGCGGTCATCCCAAAGCTGTAATCCCACACTGGGTTGTACACAAAGTCATGCATTATACCATATTAACCAACAGAAGGCTGACTTGGCTCAATCTCTCTCATCTGTACCCCCTGTTTTGGTGAGGCAGGGGAGAAGAGAGAGGCTGCCTCTGCTTAAAACACAAATGGCTTCTTCATAAGAACAGTCTTTGTCAGATGATGCTGCTGAAGATGTCCATGGAAATGAAAACAGACCCCTTCTACTTTCTGGAGCAAACTGGTGTCACTTCTCAAACTACCTTTGGCCATTGCCAGATGCAGATTAAGTTGCCCAGGTCCTGGGAGTCTCTAGGACATGGTGGGATTGGAGGCTCATACTGGCTTAGGGTTACGAGGCCCCACCTCCAGAGACCTGGCTGCTCTTTGTCAGGGGTCTGTCACTGGAGTGGACCCAGGTGGCCATGTCCTTGGGACATCTCTTGGCACCAGCTATGTATGCTAGGTGTAAAGTTCTCCACGTGAGATGACGCTTGGGGAGCCAAAAACAAACTGGAAAGATCTAGGTAGTACAAGTTTAGTGGCTCTGCCCACCCTTAAGGACAGAGCCACTTACACCGCAGAACCACCAGGGGCCTCCGGTGCTTGTGGGGATTCAGGAGCTGGCTCTTCAGGGCTCAGCCTGGACTGGAACTTCTCCAGCTGCTCCGGGCTCGCCAGGGTCTTCAGGAGGGTGTTCTCACGTTCCAGCTGGGAATTCTTCTCCACCAGCTCCCTAATTTGCTCCTTCAGGATCTCTACCTCCTCTCTCACAGCATACATCAGATGATTCTTCACCAGATCCTGCCACGGAAAAAAATGACAAGAAAGCCATTCTAGCCATCATCATCTCTCCAGCACCTTCAACCTTGCTATGGGTTGCCTGTGCTGGCCTTCATGTCACTGCCCTGCAGCCTTCCTTCAGCATGCTGGCCCTGTAGCCCAATTCCATGTGTACCCTTCTCTGAAGTACTTAAACCCTCACTGCAGGATTTGGGTCATACCAGAGTTGGGAGCCTGGTTTTGATCTAAATAGACCCCCACCTCAAGTTTCTAACGACTTTCAAGTGTGGCTGTTTAGGCACCTTTGGGGTGAGATTTCTGCTGGCTGCTGTTTGGCCCTACTACTGACTCAAATCAGGGGTGGGAAGGGGATACCTGCAATGTACCCCATACCACTGGTCTGCTTTACAAATCTTCATCAAGAAAACAAAATTGGCATTTTGGAGTCCTGATCCAGCACAATGACTCACAACTGTCCTGCAGCCTAGATAGGACACAAGACACTTGATCTGAGGGAAGGTGTATCGATTGCTACATCCTTTCTGAATGTGATGACTGCAGTAGGGGCCGAGAACTGTGTCATTAGGCTCCAGAGCACAATTAAGGGCTTCTAACTACAGGAAGCCCCACCCTCCTGCTGCCATTTTCGCTGCTCAGTGGAATCTGACCTCTGCCTGGTATGGAGAGGGAGAAAGGCTGGGGTGTTTTGCTTTCTGTTTCCTCCCAACTCCTGACCCCAGCCCAAGCTCTGCAGAGACACTGCAGTGCAGTTGCATCCAATGAGCTCCAGCCCCTGCCAACTGCAGGATACAGACAAATGAGTCTCAGCTTCGATGCCCTGCACAGGCCCAGGAGGGAGCCAGAGGCTGCTGCAAAGCCCTTGGATGGAGGAGTGGAGAAGGAAGGCTGGAGCCCAGCAAGTGCAGACCTGGAAGTGCCCTAAAAGGCTTCACTCTAAGCCTACCTAAGGTCTTCAGGGAGGATGGGAACCAGGTACAGGGCTTCCCTGGGCCTTTGGCTAACAGCTTTTGCACCCACCCTCTCAGTCAGTCCTGCCCAGAGTTACATAAGCAGTACAGCAGCTCAGTCTGGGGATGGGAATGACATGAGGATGCCACTCACCATGGCCTGTTCAATCTTGTTGTCAATGGCCACCACGCTGGCTCCTGAGGCACTGTAAAGACAAAAAGCAAAGCGACCCATTACTCACCCGGATCCACTCTAAGTACCTGGCAGCTGTAGTCAAAGTACTCCATCTGCCCAGGCTCTTCCTTTCTCCCTCCTCTCTGGCCCGGAGTTCCAGGCAGTTGGTTATCAGGTTCCTCTGTGGTCCCTGCAGGAAGCTGCACTTCCCCACCCAGGCTAGCTCTGCGCAGCTCCGCCCAGGGCTCCGACCGACCCGGGCAGCAAGCAAGTCCTGGGGCGCAATGGGCAGCGTGGCCAGCTCCGGCGATATACAAACAATGGGGGCACGCGGCCCAGGAAGGCCCCCGCCGCCGGCCCAGAAAGTCCAGGCAAACCTACCAGGCTCTGAACCTAGCTACCAATTCCTTCTGGGCTCAGAAGCTTCGGGCCTTCTCCCCAGCGGTGCACCGTCAGCCCCGTGCTGAGCCCTGCCCACCACCCTTCTGCCTCCAGTTGTCTCTGTGGCTGCAGCAGCCGCTTTTCAAGGCGCAGCGGCCGCAAGGACACTCCGACGGCGGATCCCAGCGCCGTGGCGACCCCCCTTCCTGCGTCCCCTACCCCCGCCCCTTCCCAGGATGCTACACCGCGGGAAACAGGGACCTGCGGCGCACGACTAGCTGGGAGATCCGGCTCGGTGCCCAGCCCCCGCCGACGGCCCGCTTGGCGCGGGAGCTGGGGCCAGTGGTTACCTGTTATCCAGCTTAACGGAAACCACATCCCCTCCAAGCAAGGAAGAGAAGAAGGAGATGGAGAAATTGTGCAGCTGATAGACCGCCACCTCCATGGGCGACTGATACATTTCGGTGTTCATGGCTCAGGCTGCCCGGGATCTCTGGCCGGGCTTCGGGCTGGGCTGGGCTGACTCGGAGGCCGCTGGCTACTGGCGAGCTGCACCGGGCTGGGCTCTGCGGCAGAGTCTGGCCCCGGGGCTAGGAGAGAGTGAAGGCTGCGGAGCGAACCCAACGCCAAGCAAGGGCTCCGGCTAGAGTTGAGGGGAAGTGACTCGAGGGATATCAGTATGTCACAAACTCTAGGACTGCTAGTCCAACCCAGACTCGGAGATATTTTGGCTCCTGCTTCTTTATATAGGAGGAGCCTGCTGCGTCACATGGCGTCAGGGGCCATGCAAATGATCCTGTCCCGGGCTTTGTGGCCCAGTTAAACCACATCCCCTCCCTGCATCGTGGGCTGGGACTGTAAACAGTTCAGCACTTTCTTGTGCCAACTGGCATCTCCAAAGAGGACTCTGGAGATTGGTAAAAACCAAACTGGAGTAGATTTCTAGAGAAATAGAAGAAATGCTTAACACCAGGTTGAAAGCCCTCAGTAGAGGGCGGTGCTGCTTTAAAAAGCACTTCTTCAGGTGTCAGCCACCTTAACAAGAATGGCTTTGCAATGCTTTCATGGATCACACTCCCTGGATACCCACCCTCACCGTTGGGAGCCCCATCTGCTGCCGACTGACCTCTCAGTCTCTCCCTTGCACGAATACTTTGTGACCTGCATGTTCACTCTCAGCAATGCAGCTGTTCCCTCAGCCAGCCAGATGGCCCACCAGCCTGCCCTAAGCCCTAGAATGCATGCACTCACCTCTTCCTTGGAATGTACAGGTGTGGGAATATCTGTGTGCTGACACATCCACAGATGGGTGACATGCATGTATACATACATAAATGTGCACTAATCTGTGGACACATGTAGATGCAGGAGAGGGTTCCAGGAACTTGGGTAGGTGGATGAACATGTATGGGGAGGCAGCTAGGTGGGTGAGAGGAGGTGGGAGGAGACAAGGTGTAAGAGTGGGCACCAGAGTGACCACAGATATCAGGATTTTTCTCTTTGGTCTCCACACCCTACTCTGCAAAGGAAGTACATGCAACATTATCTAGTATCTCATGTGCCCATTTTTAAATGAAATTCTGTTAATTTTCTATAAACAGCAGATGACAAGAAAACTACAAAGCAAGACTATATATAAAGGATTCCAAGAAAGCATCTGCCTTGTGATGGGTCCAGCCATACATATAGCACTAGAGGATGCTTCATGAAAAAAGTAGATTCCAAGCCACAAGGAAATGAGGTGATTTTTGTCTAATAAGAGTTACATTTTCGATCAAAATATATTTTCATTCTTTTCAGCTTTCAAGTTTAAAAAATAAGGCAAGAGAGGCTGAAGTCCTTTCCTCTCCTCCTTCCCACATGAGGCCTCCTGGTGGACAAAAATGGAATTGCAGTCAGGAGGAGCAAACTGACATGGAAAGGGACAGGTGATGCAACTGACAGTGTTATTTACACCAACCTAGGACCTTAAGAACATTGGGTTCTACCACATATACAAAACAGTAGTTTGGACGAGGTTAAGTCCAGTACCCATGAATCAGTGCTCCACAGGCTGTTGTCCAAAGAAATATTCTAATGCAATCAAGTTATCGGAAAAGTACTGGGGCCTCTTATCAGCAAAGAAGGTAATTATTATTTGCTTCAGGATATTTCTCTTAACCAGGTACCTGGTACCGACACATTAGCCAAGGACCCAGCCAAGCCCAGTCTGAAGGCTTTGATTTCCTCCTGGCTTCTAGTGCAGTTATGTCACTGAACAATCAACTTTTAGGCGATGATGTGGGGCTCCTCTGATGGACTTCAGTGGGGGTAACACGTAGACAGTGGCTATTATGTTTGTAAAGGACTGACCAGCAGAACTACCCAAGTAAATTTGCTGCACGAGCCCACTTAACCTCACTTCAAGTGAGAGATAATGCCAATCTTAGGACATGGTTAACTTCAGGTTCTCTGAACCTGCTGTTTGCACTAAGCTGTGTGCAGTTTATAGAACAAAGTGTAGATTTATTTATAGGTCACCAAGAATGTTATCTGGGAAAATCCTCTTAAATCAGGAGCTTCAGTGTTATTGAAATTCACTGACATATTAATCAACCCTCTGTGCCACCTAAAGATTTTTTGGTCCAGAAAGAGTCTCTGACTTTATCTTTCAGTAGCTTGCTAGTTTTTCTTTTTCTTTTTTCTTTTTTTTTTTGGTACCGGGGATTGAACTCGGGTCCTCGAGCTTGCACAGCAGGCGGTGAAACCACTGAGCTAAATACCCGGCCCCACTTGCTAGTTTTTCTTAAACTAATGTTACCTACTCCAAAAGTCCAAGGGAGATGACAAGGGGGGGGGGAGAAAAGCTGGACTGGCAAGGGCAAAACACTGCCCGGAAAACAGGGCACAGGACAGAAGTAAAACAGTTCTCTTGATGGGGTCTCTCATATGGAGACAGTAGCAAAGAAATCCAGACAGTTTGGGGAGGGAAGGGGAAAAGGGTTAAGTTTGCTAGCAAAGCTACATTTGAATTGTTCACTAATTATACTCCAATTAAAAAACAAGCTGAGTTTGAAACTCACTGACCATAATTGCTACCATTAATGGAGCATCAGCTATGGGCAGACACTGTGCTGGCTGTGCCACAAACTGCAGTATAGGCACCATCACCACCAGTTTTCAGATGAAGCAATCAAGGGTCTGAGAGGCTACCTTGGCGTAGGCTTGTTGAACGAGTGGAGGTTCAAATGAATGAGTCAAGGCAGTTAGAGGATGAGTTGGAGGTGTCAGAGAGTAGCAAAGAGGAAGAAAGGGTGAGGGGTGGGCAAAACCTCCTAGGAGGCCAGCAGCACTATTTGAGAGGTCCAGAGGCCAAATCTGAGCTCTGCAAGCATAGTCAGCTCTTCTGATGCTTGGAGACCTGACAAATATCCAAGCTGTCCCAGTGAGTTTGAAGAGGGCTGAGTTCACTTACATCAGTTCAAAAGGCAGTGGGGCAGTCCTCAAAGCAGGCTACCTCTGGCTAAGAAATAGGAAACGTTAATGCAACTGGGTGGCTTTCAGAATGGAATAGGTAGTCCAGGGGTATACAATATTCCAAATGAGGTGTACTGTCCAGTCAAACCTTGAGCTCCTGGGGCCCCCACTCACTGGCTCGCTTAATTACCCCCCACCCCCATTCTTGCTGTGCTCCGCTTTTAGGAGAATGAAGTCAACAAGAAGAAAACAAGCTCACATCAGAGATTTAGTTTTAAAAATCAACTTCAAAAAGGTGTCAAGTGTTCAGTCCATACTCAGGTTGATCTTGTATTCCCTGTATACCTCTAGTTCTGTTGTGTGAGAACTGATCACCTTGAAGCCTTATGACCCTCACTTACCAAAGAACAACTAGATTCCAGGATGTGATGAAGGAAAACAATGGAACTCAATGTCTCTGTACAAGTATTTTCTAACAACAAGGACTAGGGAGATAGATGGGGAGATAGGACAAAGGATAGCGGGGCGGCGGGGGGGGGGGGATGACCCAAAGGGTTTCCTGATTAACCCTCAGCACACCAGAAATTTCTCTCCCCAGAATAGCAGTACCAGACCTTGCAGTCGGTGGAAGTTTGTGCTGTATGTGATATCTATTCTCTGATCTATTGTTCCTGAGTAATGTGCTTATCCTTGAGACTCTCAGCATCCTTGTGTCCTGTGGAGGTGGGACCACACAGAAAACAGTGGCCTAGGAATTTCACAGCCCAGAAATCCCAATGTTCATAAATGTTTCCAAACTTTCCTTCTTACGTCCCACAACTTAAAATGCAGGCTGATCCAAACCCCAGCACAGCAACACCTAACTGATGAGGCAGGCCCTTCACCCGGCCCTAGTTTTAGCCATGGAACTTTGCAACAAAACAGACATAGCTCACCCTGCTTCTCTCCGGGACAACCTTCTAGTGGAGGGTGGCATAGTAAGGACAGGGCCTACTCTCCCCATCTCAGTGGCCCTGGAAGCCAACTTATTCTCTTTGAACTGGAAGAAGTGTCTCAACATTCCCATTGGTCTGTTCCACTTAAAAAGCCAGACTCTCTAGGACAAAAGCCCTTCCTACCCCGGTTCTCATGGGACAGTGGAACAGTGACTAGGCAAAGTCTGGGCAGCAGTAGCCTCAGGCAAGACCTCAGCAT